CCCCCCCCCCCCCGCCCACCTGGAAATATCCAAAATGGTGCTGTGTTGGAGAAAGCCATGGATATTTCCAGGGGGTGACTACTTCTGTTTAGGAAACTTGGCATAGAGATTATAAACAACACTAGACGGGAGGCATTGTAATCTCTTAATTCAGTAAAAAAAGGGAACACGGCTATTGGGGGGCAAATTCAAGTCCCGGATGTGTATTCGTGTTCCCATTGGTGACGACTTTCAAATCGGCCAATGAGAGCACAATTTTATATCCGGGACTTGAATTTGCCCCCCCCCCTTTAGCTGCGTCCCAATATTTAAACTTGATGTCTCCTTTAGTGTTATTTATAATCTCTATGGTACTTGCTGGGTAACAAATCATGACGAATAGCGCTTACCAGTGGCGGCGCCAGGCCTCAGAATTTGGGGGCATTTGAGGGGCAAACTCATATTTGGGGGAGGGGGGCAAGATAGAATTTTTAAAAAGGTACTGCTATTTGCCCATGCCATTGTCACAGGACGTTTGTCCCCCCCCCAGGAGATTAGCCCCCCTCTCAAAAGGGGCCTATATTCCTAGGAATACCGCCTCTGCCAGAGGGGCAAATGCCCCAGGAATATCCCCCCCCCCTTTAGGATATTCGCCCCCCATATATGCGATGTGGTTTATTCAAAACCGGACGCTATTTGGCAACGCAACGCAAATTTTCATTTTTCATTGTTTTTCAAATATTCGGAACCACTTAGCAATTTTAGCTATTTGGTCTGCATACCTTGTAAAATTTTTATCCGTTGATGGTTTTATTTGTCAGTTGAAAACTGCGGAAAATTTGCGTTGTGTTGCCGAATCGTGTCTGGTCTGTGTGGGCCTTTACACGTTTGAGAATTTAACTTTGCAAAACTAAAGCTTTTTTGTCTTTTTTGAAACGTATTATTGGAGTATTGGCAAGTTTTACCATTTAGAGATTTACAAACTAATATTGTAAAAGACAGTTTCATGTATATGCACATTCAATGAGTAAAGACAACTTATAAGCCATACATTTTTTGAGGTGGGGGGCAAAAAAGAATTTGGGGGGGCATTTCCCCCCCCCCCCTGGCGCCGCCACTGGCGCTTACGCAAAAAACAATGGAGATGGCTTTCTGTATAGTATTCTATTCCCTTAGGCATGGGCTTAGGAAGCAAGGGCCCCCTCACCAATATTTTATAAGGTGGGGGGGGCAGGATAACTTCTCGACCCCCAAAAATTATTGGATTTAAAAACAATAAATTACCGCGAAATTCTCGAAACTGGACATATTTGAAACCGTATATTATATTAATAACGTATCTGCAATTAGCCTTTCTCATGCCGCCATTTTTTGGGTACGGTCTTTTCCAAATCTGAGATTGTGTATTGTTATTTCAATAAAATATAACAACATTCAGTTTGCTTGTTTTTGTCATTGGATGTTTTTGGTTTATACTGCTTGTTAAGGCAGCGGTATTTAGTTGCTCAAATAATTATCCGGCTAACACAGTCGCAAACAAAAAATAGAAATTCAAATAATCGAATTGTTTTGATCAAGCGATCATTCCCTCATTTCCATCCCTCAAGAGTATAAAATTGTACTTTGAACTGGTTTTCAATACACAGACGCAGTATATATTGAGGCCCGCCAAGGGGTTATCACCGACAGGCGACATTCCTTAAAAAGAGGCGACAAACTATCTAAAAATAGCGACAAACGACCGCTTCTGATTGGGGAAAAGCGACAAAATAGCTACAAAATTAGTGACAAAAATACACCCTAGGTGGGCGTCTATATTGAAATATTTTATACCGCGAGGTTTTTTTTTGTCATCAGTATTTACGTATGAACGTTAGCTTAAAATATATATTTTATGGACTGATTCAGGCCGAATCAGCAGTTAGGATTTTAGGATAATGCAAATTATAAATGCACTATAAAAGTTGTATCTTGTATTAAAAACTTCGGCAAATCATTTCGTGTATTAATAATGACATGTTTATAAAAACAATACAAAAAGCACATTTAAAAACTTTCCTAGAAGAAAATCACACTCTTACTGTTATATTTCCATCAAGACAGCCGAAACCTACCTTGCTAAACAACAATTCCACGATAAATACAAATAAAAAAACGCCTTGCGAAACAGTTTCGAAAAACAACACGAGGTCGGCAGAGTAGCCAAAAGCACTTACGAAAAATACCAAATTGCTTCTCTGTTTTGAAGGAATTTTTTTCCAAGTGGAAACGACTAATTTCAATCACCATCTAATCCAATCACTTCCCATTTACTTAAGCCATTTCACATTACGTCGAATCAATTCAAAACCAGTTGAATCACTTCACAACAACACACGCCGAGACCGCAGAAATTAGGTCATTTCAAAATACATCAAATCACTTCACATCGCATCCAGTTGAATCACATTATGTTGAATCGTTACACATTTAGTTGAATCAATTCACATTAAATTGAATCGTTTCACGTTATATTGAATTGTTTCACATTAAGTTGAATCAATTCACATTAAGTTGAATCGTTTCACATTATATTGAATCGTTTCATATTACGTCGAATCAATTCAAAACTAGTTGAATCACTTCACAACAACATGCACCGAGACCGCACAAATTATGTCATTTCAAAATACATCAAATCACTTCACATCGCATCCAGTCGTTTCACATTAAGTTGAATCAATTCACATTTAGTTTAGTCAATTCACATTAAGTTGAATCGTTTCACATTAAGTTGAATCGTTTCACATTGTATTGAATCGATTCACATTATAGTGAATCAATTCACATTATATTGAATCAATTCACATTATAGTGAATCAATTCACATTATATTGAATCAATTCACATTAAGTTGAATCAATTCGCAACAAGTTGAATCGTTTCATATTTAGTTGAATCAATTCACATTTTTGAGGCCCTGTTAGGGTAAATTCCGACAGGCCACATGGCGTTGAAACGGCGACATGGGAGAGCTGAAATGGTGACAAGCGAAACCAATTTTGGTTAAAATTGCGACAGCGAATTGGAAATAACAAAAAATGACAGTGAATCATGTTATTCCTAACAGGCGACAGTGACACTGCGTTATTTGTAGCTATTTGTACCTTTGACACCTTTCCACGCGTAAGAAATTATATTGAAAACAGTTTTGTAAAATCGTAAAACACATCGAAGACATCGAAAATGTTTCTGTGATTGATGACATTGATCAGCGGTCATCATAAAACACAGAACGGTATACTATATATAAGTCGGTGTGAAAACACCACAATGTTTAAAAGTGACAAAATGTCATTGGCAAAGTACAGTTTTCAGGCGTTAGTAAGCGTAGAGTAAATTATGTCTCCTAACACTACATGTCTCGCCTCGTAATATATTGTTTTTGATACACAATCGTGAATTAGTCAACAGTCCTGGTTGATGCAATCGAATTTTTGGTCAATGGACCCTATTGAGAAATAGCATACATGGTTAAATGACGTGAAATAATGACAGGGACATACCCAACTCCTCAAATCGCGACATAACAAGTTTTCAAATTCAGACTGGCGACATAGTACCCCCCCCCCTAACAGGGCCTCATTATATTGAATCAATTCACATTAAGTTGAATCAGTTCACATTTAGTTGAATCGTTTTACATTTAGTTGAATCATTTCAAAACACGGTAAATGGTTTCAAAATAGCATGAATCATTTGTTCATGACTTGTTAAATCATTGCAAAACACGTTGAGCCATTTCACATTGTCTACATGAATTAACACTGCACTAATCGAATTAGAACACTGCGAGGTGAATCATTTCAAGTTTAGATGAATTATTTCACATCTTGTCCAGTCACGTTACTACGTTATGTTCAATAATTTCTAAACACAATGAATCATTTGTGTTTATAATGAATCATTTCTGTTTATGTCCATTCATTTCACACTTGTAGTATTTTTGGTGGTAATGGCCACCCATAGTTAGCACTAACAGAGTTTTAATGGTTGATCACCCATTTAAGCAAGAAGTGGAAACAAATGTTAAAGATGAATTGTTAAAATATCGTGCAAAACTTGCTAATGATTTACCGGATGAACAACTGCTCACAGGAATTGATATTGCAACTGGATTTTCTACTTCAATTATTGAGAACATAGTTAGTAAGTTTTGGAGAATTGAAAGTCTTGACTCATTAAAGAAGATGATTACATTTTTCAATGAGGATCATGCTTTACAGTCATGGTTAATTGTATCAAGCATGAAAGGACATTTTCCTCATATTCAAGATTGTAATCTAAAAAACATTGATAACAGTCTGCTGGAATTGCATTCACCTACAAGATCTGATTATACCTCATCTGATGAAATAAACAATAGCAGTGATGATTCCGATGTTTGCGTACGTAAAATTTCTAACATTGTTTTAAATGATAGTGATTCTGATGATACAGATTAGTTGCCCAATGTAGGCCACTATAATATGATATACAGTTGAACCTGTATTGAGCATTATTTTGCATTTTAAAGTAAGCATTTGGCAAAGTTTCAAAAATTTCATAATCAATGATATCATGCAAATTCTGACCTATATTAATTAAACAGTTCCTAATTTTGCCCAATTCCAAATTGTATTCATTGAATTTCTGTCAGTGATAATTGATAATCCAATTTTAAACAGTCACTTTTAAAACCCCAGGTGATTACCTGATACAAGTTCAACTGCGTAGTATTTAGTTAATGTTGAAAGGATGAAACTCCCCTGAAAAGTGGCACACTCCATCTGTTGTAGTCACATCAGCATTAATGTTTCAAGTTTTGGTATTACCAAACCTGTAGATGCTTCCTCTTGCCTAAAAAGTGTCTTGTTCTTGTGTCAAAACATTCAAGAATGGGACTACATTTCTACACCTATTACTGCTAAAATATCCAACTAATATTAGCTAATTTCAGCACAATTTGCCACAGACCAATCACTTGTTGCCATTTTCAAACTGTCAATTTCACATTATTCATATTTCTGAATGTTTTGACATGAAAAACAACACATTTTTTTAGTGAGAAGAAGGATCCGCGGTTTTATTAATACCAGTTGTCTGGTAAAGCTTGTGATTTACCAGGCAAGATTATATAAAATGCTGAATAAATAAAGACTTTAAGCCATTTATAAAGAATTTTATTCTGGGTATTACTTCCTATAAAAAGAAATGAAACAAAGCCCTTGTGAGTAACCATAAATATGGAACAAAATATTTAATTTATTAATTACCGTTTAACAACATGAAACACAGAGTATTATTATGTGCACTGCTCATTAGCTAAAATGTAAACCCGTCGGACTGTTGAGCAATGTTTTATCAATATATTATGATCCTTCTATACTATAGTGACTGTCCAAGTAACAAAAATACCCAGGCAAGTTAAAAACAAGCAACTAGAATTGAAATACTTAAGTTTTAAATGTTCAAATTTTGTAGAAATGTTTTTTTGAAAATTTCTTTACTGATTTGATATAATCCAACTTCTCAGGCTCTCTACGTCAATATCTGCAAGCACATTATGCTTCATGTCTGGGAATGCCACATATTTTCTTCCAGGAACTGTTTTGTATAATTCCTCTTCCTGTAGATGATCAACCAACATCTTGACATCGTCTTTGCTTGAGATATGTTAGTATGCTTGCCGGATGGCTTCCTTATGTGTGTACACTTGTCAAATGCAGACAGAATAGCATGTGTTGGTTCGGTTGCTTAACTAACCCTTGAAATACTCCTGACAGTTATTTCCCCTTTGAAACTGTGTATATCAGCTTTAAATGCCTTATTGTCATGTTCCACATCAAGGTTCATAGGGAAGTTAGTATCTAGTTTGCCCTGATGATTCACAAATCTGTTGCATGTGAGTGAGCGAGCCAATCTAGGATTCAGAAGGCAATTCACTTGTTCCTGTAAGTGCAGAGCAGCTATGGCATACTTAGGGCATTTGCTCACTTTAAAATATAAGCAAAAACATTTGTATAGTCTTAAAATTCTCTCACCATCACCAAGTTTGATGGCATCATTGTGATTCAAGCGTAAAAGTAAAAGAACAAGGACTTGATGTGTGTAATTGTACACCGTATCTTGTTCCTTTGCTTGTGCAACAGCTGTATGTGATTTAGGTGGTTGTAATCCATGTATTTTCTCTTCGTGCTTTTGTAAGGCACTTGGTCGGACATACTTCTTGTTGCAAATCCTACAAATCAAAGTTACCTAAAAATATGTACGTGTTAATTAACCTGTCTATGCCCAAGACACTCCCGTTGACAAGTAACCCGTTAATGTCCAAGACTCTTCCCTTGATGCAGGGGTGGGAAAAGTATCAGACTACGGGACCATTGGTCCCAGAAAATTTTTGAGTTCCCAGAAAACATTTCCAAGAAAGAAAAAAATAATTGTAGAAATTTAGACAAAAGGATTAAATTATATCCAATAGAAAGAATGTTACCTGTACTGTAGGTATGACCACAGAAGTGCAAATTATTATAAGTGCATCCATCTTATAATAGTGCAATAGTGTATAAATGTATAGACTATAGAATGATGTAACAAATGTGGTATGGCAAATTTTCTGGAGGAGCATGCCCCAGATGTCCCTAGTAGTGCCCCTTAGTAGTACCCATTTTTTGGCAACGGTAAATTTACCTTAGGATGAGACCCCTGGTGCATGTTACCCAAATTAGTTTTATGTTATATTCCTGAAAGTATTATTATAAGATTCTCAGTCCTTGGATTTTTTTCTGTTAATGTTAATTATAATACATTCAGTTTGACAACTTGTTAATGTTAATTATAATACATTCAGTTTGACAACTTGTTAATGTTACTTGTTTGCTTTACTTGATTATTTGCAGAAAATTTTTCAACGTTCTCTTGCTGTCCCAGAAAGTAAAATATTTTTTTCACCTCTGCCTTGACGATAATAAAGTCAGGGTGTAGACATAGTTAACTAATAAAGTCAGCTGCATCGCAGCTTAATGGGTTTTTAAAAGTAACAAAGATTATTTGGAAAAAAATATTTTCTGACTAGATTTAAAAAGGTATTCAAAGGTTGTGACAAATAACTCCAGTCAAAGAACACATTTTCTAAAATAAATTAATCTTACCCGTTTGTTGGATTCTATACTTTGAGGTGGTACTTGTGGGATGTTATTTACAACATGTTCTGTTACAAAGCTTTTGATGACTCGGTTGGCATATTCTTTCTTTGCATTTACGTCAATTGGTTCACCAGTGTAGTTATTTTGCTCTGGAGTGTCATCGATGTCTTTCATGCCAAAATGATTCAATGCCAAAATGATTCAATGCCAAAATGATTCAATGCCCCACAAACAAGGTATGCACTCAATACTTTATCAAGGAACTCACTGCATCCATAGAAGTTATTGTGAGGGTCCACTGTAACATTCCTGGCATCTTGCAAATTTCTCGCAGCATAGAGAGTTTCTTTATCTCTGCATGAGCTTCGGTCATAAATGTATCTACCATCTTGGTAGTGTAAATACGACACAGGTCTTACGGATCATATGGATTTATGGCTGATAACCGATCAAGCTATCTTATAGTTATAGATACACAACAACTGTGACGACAGGACTTTAAAAGTGTACTATATTTATCTTCTACGAACCATCAAACTACAATATAAACAAAAATTAGCTAAAATTACAAAAGGAAGATTCAAAATATACAGCAAAATATAGCAATACTTATGACTTGTGGGCCAACTGTAAGCATGCCACTTGGAGAATCTTAAGTTCCTAAAAGCGGACGACTAACATGCATAGCAACCCAAGATAAATGACTGAGAGGGCGTAACATGGCTCCCCCAGACAATGATAATTGTATGAACAACTAACAAATATGAATGTACATGCAATAAGTTTGATGTTTCTTGTCATAAGCTAATAAAGTTCACTGTAATGTCTCTTGTTAAATATTTATCTAACGAAAGGCTCCTCGGTGGGGAACCATACCCGGTCTGGGTCTGCTCTGGATCAAATGTTCTCTTTTTCACCATCTTGTGCAATGATAAGAACCAATTTATGCACTGGTCGGTCCAAATGACTCAATTTACTTCCATGACTTACAAGGATTCGTACTTTGCGTACGAGGTCGTCGTCGCTGGGATCGACTTCTACGACTTTTCCGAGTGGCCAGTTATTTCTGGCAAGATCGTCGTCACGCACGATGACAATATCCCCTACTCTGCTATTCCTGCGCTGACGTGTACACTTTTTTTTTTCGCACTGTAGCATGTTGCTGTATTCTTTTCGCCATCTTTGCCAAAACTGATTGGTCAAATATTGTACTCTTCTCCATCTCTTGCAACTGTAGAGGTCTGGTCTCGTAAAGTCGCCTGGTGGCTGTAGGATTATCTCAGATTTACATGTTAGCAGGTGGTTTGGCATGAGCGGCTCCAGCATTCCCGGCTCTGACAAGCTACACACCGTCAATGGACGATTGTTCACCATGCTCTCTGTCATCAGGGTTCTTAACGAGTCATCGTCGAGTTGTGTTCCATGGTTAAACAAAAGTGTTGAAAGCACAGAGCACACAGTACGAATAAGTCTTTCCCAAGCACCTCCCATGAGAGAAGCCGAGGGCACGTTCATCGTAAATTTGATCCAATCGCAGCCTTTGTTGGAGAGGAATCCTTTGATAGCATCGTGTCGAGGCTTTCGAGTGCTGTTGTCAATTTGTTTCTTCCACCAATGAAATTTGTGCCTTGGTCTGATCGTAATTCGCGTATGTTGCCACGTCAACTAATAAATCTTCTTAACACATTTAAGAATGAGTCTGTGTTCATTGAATTGACTGCTTGAGAGGCTAAGCATGTGAAGATGATACCCCATCTCTTGAGCTCTTCCCAGCTAACACAATTACGTTTTAAAAACGTCGTGGAAACGTTGGACTTACGTTATATGAACGTTCTGGGACAACGTTGTGACAACGAAAATTTGTAGACAGCAGAAAACGTTATCGCAACGTTGTAGCTAACGTAGCGAGAACGTAACTTGAACGTTGTCAAAACGTTTCTAACACGTTATAAGGACGTCCAATTTTAACTTTGTGAAAATGTGGTAAAAACGTTGTGGGAACGTTACGACTTAACGAAAGCATCAAGGTACGTTTACACACATGATTTGTCGGCCGATTCAGCTTTAACTATATGATATTTGAAAAAAATGGCAGCATTCGTTAAAACCTTAAATTGGCCAGATTATAATCCCTGTGTGTACACGTAGCTTAACACAGCTTAATTGTACCAGAACCATTGCGTACTTTAATATTCTTTCGCGAATTTTCTGACTACGTCGGCAAATTCGAGAAAGGAAATTAAAACGGGAAATGATTGTTGTGTAATAAACGCGGTTGTTAAGAATATTAAAATAAAGTAAACATAAATTTTTCTAAATATTTATTGACACAAAATGTTAAATGACTTCACATTAACTATTTACATAAACTTTAAGAACTATTAATAAATACATTAGTATATAAGGAAAGAATATGCACAACATTAAAAATTACTTGATCTACCAAATGATCTATCAAATATCATCCTTTTATACAATCCTGGCAACGTTCTATAACATTCGAAAAAAAATTATATTCGATTAATTATGAAGTGGGTTTAGCCAATACTGCATTCTGATTGGTTAGCTATACTGGCTATATATCAACATCTAGCTGTAACATTGTGATTTTATGAACTGAAAACTTGATTAGTGATACGGTCCATTAGAAAAAAACTGGAATTGGCTGGGGAAAATGGTATAAAAACTGTTTAAGACCTTCAGAAAATATATAATTTATGTACAGCTCATTCAAAAATAGGTTTTCCTTTGAAAACCTTCAACTCAAAATCTTAAAACTTAAGCAGTATGGCGAAAGCGTCGTTTTTGGGTGTGGTCAGTTTCGGACGTTTCGCCCCGGATTGGGGTTCGGGCAACGTTACCATGCTGACCGTCATGGTCAACTTGCCCAAAACATTTGAGATTATCTGTCCTAAATGAAATGCATACAAACTCATATACAGGTCCTAGACTACTTTAACAAATGCTTTTGCAGGTGCATCACAGACAGCACACCTGAGAGAAACTTTAAGAACCTTTGAACCGCAACTTAAGCCTTGCTTTAACACCATATTCAGATCTCTCACAGTGTCATGAAGAAAATCTAAATTCTTAGGTTTTGACTTCCCATATGTTAAAGCAATTGGGAATATTCTAACTGGGGTAAGGTTCATAATACCACAGAGAACTGGCCATAAACTACTTTGTGAACTTTTGAACAAAGGAACGCCATCAATGTTCAAACTTATCTCTAAAGTAGCAACAGAGTCTTTAACACTGTCTGGATAAGACTGGAAATTCTCCAAGAGTGCCTTTTCCAATGGGAAGTAAACATACTCCATCTCAGACTTATGGCCAATAGAAACAAGCCTTGGTGTAGCCAATAAAGCCCTGGCAGTGCTTGGCAATTCAGAATGGCCAGACTGTTAAGAGCCCATCAACTGCATTGTGTTTTACTTGAAAGTTATTCACCCAAGTTACTAACTCATCTTTCAAACTGTAATTTTCTAATTGATCAGAATCGTCAGACAAACAAGAATTATCACTGATGCTGTCAGTGCCTGAAACACTGTGGTGAGCAGGTGCGTTTGTGCAAATTTCATCTATGTCAATTGTTTCTTCAATTAATATCACTGTTTCAATAATCAATTTTACAGAAAAACCTTCTTATGAAGTGTAGACCCTAAGCAACCTAAAAATGTCAAATATTCACTTTGATCTATCATTGAAACTTTTGCAAGGGGAGGTGCATGACTTTTTAGGGGAAGTGCAAAAATTCCCAGGGAAGGCGCAAAACAATATCAGGGGAGGTGCGCCCCGCAAAATCCGGCCTTGGTTTGTCTCACATTATGACATCACCCTGTGTATCTATAACTGAACAGACAATGACAAAATCTTAACCTATTTGTTATTAAACATATATAATTATATAGAGAAATTCAATCTAACCCAACTTACACTAAACTCTTTAATAAGCATTACAAGTTGCAAACCTACAATTTACCATTTACAATCGAGGCCATATTTCAACTTAATAGGTGGAGAATTTGAAATAAAGTAGAATAAATTACATTTGCATATTTAAGCAGTAGTGCACCTTCCTTTGTTACTTTACTCTTCCTGATACAAAACTTTTTTTACTCTGATCGACACAAAAGACTCATTGCTTTGGGCAATTTGTTATTTGATGCTTGTGATGTTACTCTGAGTGTGTATCCACATCGGGCAAACTTGAAAAATATGCCTGGCCACAGTGGGAATCGAACCACTACAACCTTTGGAATACTACCCAATGCTCTGCCAATTGAGCTATGTGATATTTCGGAACAGAATCTAGTTCCTTTGATATCAATGTAGTCTAGTAATCATAATTTTTTCTGTGGTGGTGTAATGTACTCAGGTGAATATGATGCTTGAAAACACATGAAATTGCTTGATGCTTTGTAAACACATGAAATTAAACCTTAATTTTACTCGGCCCCATGCAATCACATATACAAATTTGAATAAAAATCCCAGTATGTATACAAATAAAGTATTCAAATACTACGGATTCAGGTTGAGTGTTTAATGATGTCACGATTATGTGAACATTGAAACAGAAAAACACCTGTAGGTGTTGACAAGTGACAAATTACTTGTTGCTATGAGAGAATGTCTGTAAACAAACAGTTTTTTAAATGTGGCATGCAAACGATTATGGTCGATTAGTTATGCCCGAAAACCCTTTATCCGAAGACTAAGGTTGTTAACAAAAGGAAATATTATTAGCAATGGATGTGATCCCAAAACAGGAGTTTTTCCTGGAAAATTCATAGAAGTAGACGTCCCATTGGGATATCGTCAGCCATTGTATCAAAAATTTGGAAATGTTTATACTGCAGAGATAAAATAGTTTCTCCTAAGCCAAATGCGGATAACAATGGTCTTCTTGCCTGTGTTTAATAATCTCATTATTTGAAATTTAAAATACTTCGATGATAAGTCAATTTCTACACACGAGAAAAGATCATCATATGTTAAAGATAGCAAGTCTTCGTTCCCAATAAATATATGGGTTATTCAATTGTTACAATAATAATTGTATACAACCTGAATTTCAGGAGATTATCCATATTTTTGCATTACAGTGTAAATTCTAAACATATATATTCAATTCAAAATGTCACCGCTGGTCTGCTCCCTCATAGCAACAAGTAATTTGCCATTTGACAATGCCCATGTTTTTCTGTTGCAATGCTCACATGATCGTGATATCATTAAACACTCAACCTGAATCCGCAATAAACTGACCATAATGTATACAGGTCATAATAAATTAGTATTTTTAAATTTTAAAAAAATATCAATATTTTTTGGTTGTTATAACGATGTTGGCTCAATATTTAAAACAATATGCAATAAATGAAAGCAGGCTGCCATGTGCAGTCAAACCTTAAAATAGCCAAATAGACTTGAATGATACAGTAAGAGACAAAGAGAATATACTTTGAGCTTTGACAAGCAGGAAAGCTCAGATTCTGCACCAAATGCAAAGTTAGTAGTCATATTAACTGCCGGAAAATGTAGCCACAAAATAAGTTTCAAGATATAACAATAGTAATCCCAGCAATTATAGTGCGTCTATAGTATAGGTGAAATTTTATAGGTACACGAGGCTATGAAAACGCCAATTTGTTAACGCTAGGCTTTATGCGGTAAATAGGGCAAAAACGACTGAAACTTCCAAGGTTAGCGACACCATCTTATCAAGTGGGGCAAACATAATACTGAAAACAATATATTCAAGATGGCGTCCCTATTTACAACCAACGGTGTGTATAAATTCTAGCTGGTCGAGATCTGATAACAAAGAATAGTAAACCAAGAAGTTCAATGCCTTCAAGGCAACTATATGTAAAAGTACACTACACAGTCCGCAAATTTCGAATGATTCGTGTAAATAAATGCAAAATATATTTGTGATTGTCTGGCGAGTGCGAGTCACATGTATTAATTAAAAATAATTCACGACAAATCTTAATCTGAAAAAATATTAAAATGTTATATCAATATATATATATATGGCTACACTACTGATACAAAATATCATAAGTATCACTTACGTTTAAGTAGAAGAAATATAGGAGAGTCAAGGAAAGTCCAAGTATTAAAATCTTCAATCTAGTTTTATATCTTGCCCACGAGATGCCGACGCGCAGCTTAAATTATTCGCATATATGCAATGAAGGATCAAATTATATATTCATATCAAATTTCGCAGACGTCCGACTTTTTTTAGCCAATTAAAATCGAGTATTTTTGATCCGCGAAAACCGCGAAACTCATGTGTCTATAATATTAGTGACTTCGCACATAGTCCACATGTCATTTGGATTTTGCCAAAATTTTGCCTTTTTGGTGACTATATAGGGATTTAGTCAATGACAATTAATGCAACTGAAACAAATAACTGATGTAACATTCCATGAGTTTTAACTTTAAAACCATATAAAATTTAAAGTTTATCACCACCCGGCGATGGCTGATAAACCGTTCAATTACCAATTCAAACTTGAATTTAATAACATCAACAAAACATTCTCCATATTACGTCACGACGACGTTTTCTTGTAATTAAAATTTCACGTTATTACGAAACAATATCACAACGTCATTACAACGTTGCTGATCAAGCGTTCTTGTCACGTTGCATTCATGTGTAAGTAAAAGTTTTTACAACGTTAGTATTCAAACTTTCTAGCCACGTTGTATTCATACGTAATTAAAACGTTTTCACAACATTAGTATTCAAACGACAACGAAGACAAGGTTGTCAAAAGGTTGTCACAATGTTAGGTCCGACCTAACCAAATTACAACCTTCCAAAAACGTTTTTACAACGTTATGTGTTAGCTGGGTTTTTTGCCTTCTTTAATATAAAACAGGCCAAAAACATCCATGCCAGTGTATGCAAATGGTGGTGCAGGATTTACACGTTCGCTTGGTATGTCTGCCATTTTCTGTTCTATGGACTTGTCTCGTAATCTTCGGCACATGGCGCAGCTGTGGATGGCGTGTGATATTACTGTACGTCTGTTAATGACCCAGTATCCTGCTTGCTCAAGAAGTAAAACTCTTGCTCAAGGAAGTCTCTGGCATTTTCACCGAATTCTTGGCTACCTTCCTTTGCTGTAGCCATGAGCCCAAAATTTGCTACACCAGGGGATGGTACAGCTCCAAACAAATGAACGTTCATGCGATACTCAACTATGGGTTGGTTTATATCACCGTCCTTGAACCAGAAAATCTCTGTGCTCGGGATTCACTGCAAAGTTGTGAAACATTTGTTCGATGTCGCAAGAAACTGCAACCTCTTCTTTTCGGAACCACGATGAAACGCCCACCAGAGCTTTCATCCAATCAGGGCCTTGTAAAAGGTGTTTATTAAGGGAATCGCCTCTATAAACAGCACTGCAATCGAACACCACCCTTATTTTATCTGGTTTTTTGGGGTGATATACCTGGAAATAGGGAAGGAACCAAACCTGTCCTACTGACACTTGTAATTCTTCATCTAGTTGATGGTGTTCTCCATGAATTGCACATAGTCCGTACGCAGTTTCTCATCCTTCTGCATCTTCTTCTTGAGACTCAATAATCTAGTCAGGCAATATTCCCGATTGTTTGGTACCTGGGGAATTAAATCGAATGGATAGGTTACTTGCATAGTGTGGGAACTGAGCTGCGTGGAGTGGTGGCTGTACTTGAGGTGGGGGCTGCACTGTGTGGAATGGGGGTTGTATTTGGAATAAGAGCTGCAGTTCAGGTGGGGGCTGTTCTGCGTAGAGGGGTCGTTGCACTTGAGGTGGGTGCTGCACTGTGTGAAGTGGGGGTTGTACTTGATAGAGCTGGATTAGAAATGGTACCCAAAATGTTTCCTGTTTCAGTAAGCGTTTCATACACACTTTCTTTTGCTGAGACTTCCTCAAATTCTCCCTGCATCTTTAGCTGCTCAAGTTTACGTTCCTGCTCGGATATTAACTGAAAATATTGCATTCTTTTTCCTAAAGCTGCTTTTCTTGCTTTAAGGTCAACTAAGGTGTCTATATGGCTGCTGTTGCTACTACTTCATCGGGATGTTGTAGAAATTGTTTCTTGCTTTTGCTGACTAAACTTCACTGCATATTCTTGAGCCCAGCTCTGGGTGCTCAACAATTTATCAGACAAAAATGTAGGCATTCCTATGACTTCGCGAATTTCATTCTCATCTAAGGATAATTTCAACCATTCATGAAGGGCCTTGCTAACAAAATTCATTTTCCCTGATAACAATGTTATTTGTTTATTAAGTTCAACAACACCATTGAAATCTGCAATCTTTTTCTCAAAATTAAACAGTTCTTTCAAAAACTCTTCCTTGATATCGAGGGCTGCTTTTCTTTTCAACGAACAGACATATTCTCTACCTTTCTCTGTCATTTTACGCTCTCGGGTTTCCTGTGCTGTAGTTGCCTGTTCTGTAGTTGCCTGTTCGCAGGCATCTTGTTTTGCATTATGTAGTATAGCTTCGCTCGGCTCTACGAGCGGGTTTTCGATATTTTCGCTCGTTTCGTGACTACGAAAGCTCATTGTAGAATATTCTCGCTACTATAGACAAGTCTTTGACTGTATCTACCGTCTTGGTAGTGTAAATACGACACAGGTCTTACGGCTTGTATGGATTTATGGCCGATAACCGATCAAGCTATCTTATAGTTATAGATACACAACAACTGTGACGACAGGACTTTAAAAGTGTACTATATTTATCTTCTACGAACCATCAAACTACAATATAAACAAAATAAGCTAAAATTACAAAAGGAAGATTCAAAATATACAGCAAAATATAGCAATACTTACGACTTGTGTGCCGACTGTAAGCATGCCACTTGGAGAATCTTAAGTTCCTAAAAGCGGGCGACTAACATGCATAGCAACCCAAGATAAACGACTGAGAGGGCGTAACAATAAAGATGGTGCCATATGACCTGCAATTAAAAAAAAAATACTCGTATATTTCTATACACTCTCTAGCATTCCGTTAACCAATTTTCATGCATTATTACATGAACTGCCCAATATGATTGTTAGGGAGTTTCCATTTCAAAGAGCTGTCCATAAGGAGGAGGTTCAAATGTATTAATTAACTCATTCCCATCCAGTCGAAAAGTAGCAATTTCGAGTGGTGTTGTTTCAAACGCTTATATCTCTCAAACTATACATCGCATGGAAACAGAAATTGCATCGTTCGAAAGAGGAGGACTTCTGCTTTCCAACGATACCAATTTCAATTTCATCCGGAGCTTGGTTAACGATTTACTCGCATAAATTTGCATAAATTATGATATAAAAAAATGTTGCAATTATGCATAAATGTATTTAGCTGTTCAAATTTCAAATATGTCAAAAAATTTTATGAATATGACTGAAAGACACGGTTATGATCTACAAGTACGCGAAGTTTCATGCATGTAGCATAAATAGAAATATTTTTATTGAATTTTTATATAAACTAGGTAGTGGAGTAAAATTTACATTTTGTGCTCACATGAAACAAATACCTTTATCAAAGGTCCTTTTTTCTTGCTGCAACATGTTATCAATACAAATTTCCAATATTTCTTACTCTCCAAAGATAGTATGGCACCAAAATAAGTCTGTGATACCCACAAAAGAACACTCAAATCATGATTAGCAAAATGTCTTTATTTCTACAATTACTACATACATTCTTAGATAATCATTACACCATTGACTTTAGTTATTAGTGGCATAACCAGCCTCAGAATTTGGTCATGCTATTCAAATTTGAAATAATCACTACTCATTTGTTTAGAAATTGATTGTTTTCACAATCTAGAACATGAAAATATTTGCA